ATGTCTAATAGACGTGTGTACTAGGCGGAAAAAAGGACGTGATGTATTTTATGTATTTTTCATAATATGTATGAAAAATACATAAAATACATCACGTCCTTTTTTCTGCCTAGTACACACGTCTATTAGACATCTTATAGACGTCTAATAGACATGTCTAATAGACATGTATATTAGACGTCTCAAAGATAACATTTCGACGTCTATCTAGATGCGTCTATAGACATACTTTAGACGGTCGAGTAGACGTCTAATAGACGTCTATCTGATCTCGCGTTTCTCCCTGGGAGGGGCCTTAAGTAGTGTAGTTATATTTTTTATCTAAATTCGTTTCTACTTTATGATAAACTGTTATTACTTTCATAATTTTTACAGTTTTTACTTGCCGTACAAATTTTCTTGATATAATCGCCAAATGGCAAGGGATTGCTAAATGTATCCACTGCGTTTAATCAATCTTATCGATCTTTCATTTTGTTTTCTACTCTGGCCGCAACATTACTGAGGGCGTTAGCGGACGGCGAAATTTTTCTTCGCCGCTAACTCCCGTAAGAATGTCGGTCTTCAATAGTATTTTGTCGGTGCCCATAATCTGCACAAGATCGAGACCGTGGGGTCTTTTTTCTATATCTTTAAACAAGAGGTTTGTTCGCGTCGCATGCTCCAACATGTTCCAACATACTCCTACCATAGCTCCTACTCACTCCAACGCGCTTGATAGAGTGAGTAGGAGCTATGGTAGGAGCATATTGGAACATATTGGAGCATGCGACGCGACAAACCCAAGGTAAAAATTACAAAAGTGAGCAAATTTACTAGGTATTGACCAATGAAATGATCAGTATTCTAGTAAATTCGCTCACTTTTGTAATTTTTACCTCGTTTCAAAATACAGAATCGATCCCCGTGAGCTTTAGTGAGCCTCGTAAACTCACTTCAAAGACTGCGTTCGAAAATTGATTTGGTTGGTGTTGGGAACAGTGGCTTAGTTTCTACCGAGGATTTAAACCGAATCAGAATGTGAGAACCAACCAACTACAGTCGAGTATTCCCCTGTTACAGTCGAACGACAGGGGAATGCTCGACTGTAGTTGGTTGGTTCTTAGTTTCTGATCCGGTTTAAACCCTCGGTGGAAACTAAGCCATTGTCAATATTTACAAATCCAAGTCAGTTGGTACGTGATACGGATATGCGAGCAAAGCGAATGGACAGAATGAAATGCAAGATTCACGAGAATCGAGAGTGGTGGGGCTGATTCTCGTGGTGCCCGGGAGCCAGATGTGCATCACTGGTTGGGAAAGGAGATAAAGTTGGCAGTATTGGAAATTACCAAGGCTGCGTTTCGTTTCTCCCGCTGGGACTGCTGGGAGACCAAAGTAAGGTAAATGTCCCTATTTGTGACCATTCATGGACTTTTATTAAATTAATCAGAAGTTTTAAGTAATTTATCTTTGCAAAGGGTATTTATCACGTTTAACAATTAGTTAGCCATGATTTGATACATGGTTTCAGTGATATTTGACTAACAAATATTCATGAAAATGTGATACGCGACAAACCCAAGGTAAAAATTACAAAAGTGAGCAAATTTACTAGGTATTGACCAATGAAATGATCAGTATTCTAGTAAATTCGCTCACTTTTGTAATTTTTACCTCGTTTCAAAATACAGAATCGATCCCCGTGAGCTTTAGTGAGCCTCGTAAACTCACTTCAAAGACTGCGTTCGAAAATTGATTTGGTTGGTGTTGGGAACAGTGGCTTAGTTTCTACCGAGGATTTAAACCGAATCAGAATGTGAGAACCAACCAACTACAGTCGAGTATTCCCCTGTTACAGTCGAACGACAGGGGAATGCTCGACTGTAGTTGGTTGGTTCTTAGTTTCTGATCCGGTTTAAACCCTCGGTGGAAACTAAGCCATTGTCAATATTTACAAATCCAAGTCAGTTGGTACGTGATACGGATATGCGAGCAAAGCGAATGGACAGAATGAAATGCAAGTTGGTGCCCGGGAGCCAGATGTGCATCACTGGTTGGGAAAGGAGATAAAGTTGGCAGTATTGGAAATTACCAAGGCTGCGTTTCGTTTCTCCCGCTGGGACTGCTGGGAGACCAAAGTAAGGTAAATGTCCCTATTTGTGACCATTCATGGACTTTTATTAAATTAATCAGAAGTTTTAAGTAATTTATCTTTGCAAAGGGTATTTATCACGTTTAACAATTAGTTAGCCATGATTTGATACATGGTTTCAGTGATATTTGACTAACAAATATTCATGAAAATGTGAAATAAAGGGCCTCTTTCACCAACCTCCGATTAAGCTAATCGACGGTTACGGTAGTGCCAACGTAATCAAATGAATCGGACGTTTCGATTGTAACAGAGCACCTTAACCTAATATTTCTGTCGTGTTATTTTAGGTAAAGTATCCAGTGTAAATTGAAATTATTAAAAAGTCAATATAAGATTTTTTAAGATACATATACAAAGTAATAAGAAAATGATGGACCTACAAAGAGGAAAGAATTTTTCAGAAAAAGAAAAAAGTGATCTCTTAGACATAATTTTTTTATATCGAGATATAATTGAAAATAAAGTGACTGATGGTTTGTCAAATTCAAAGAAAGATAAACCGTGGACTACCATTACGCAAAAATTTAATACAAATAAGACTGATTTACGAACAGAAAAAACCTTACGTAACTGTTGGGACAACATCAAAAGAAACACAAACAAATATTATGCAACTTTGAAACGAGAAATACATAAGACAGGTATAAAATTCTCATTGAGGTTATAAATAATAATTTAACTTTTAATAATTATTTAAACGTTTTATTACATTTGTAGGTGGAGGAAAAGTTAACGTAAAAGAAAATACTTTGTATGAGCGTGCCAAAGACATTATGGGTGAAACAGCTGTGCATGGATTATTAAATCTTTTTGATTCCGATTGTGTACTTGCAGAATGTCTTCATGATGGAGAACATATTAATAAGAAAGAAGCTATTGGGAATAAAGAAAATATTTATGATTTGGAGAAAAAAAATGAAAATGATCCAGCAGAAGTATTTTCAGTAAGTTATTACTTATTCGAAAATATAAACTTTGCAATTAATGTATTTTAAACTTTTAGTATCTAATAAATAATGATGAAATCACTGACTGGAAGAGTTGGGATCCAAATAAATTAAAGTCAAAAATAAGTCCGCCACTAAAAGATAAAGAAGACATATCACCAGTATCAACACAAAACATGAGAAAAAGAAAAAATATGGGAATGATAATGAACACATCAAGAACAATTTAGATGAGGCAAAGACTGATTTAACATATATATTAAAAACAAATACGAAAGAGAAACACTCTTACGAAATAGAAATATTAAACAGTAAGTTACAAAAAGAAAAACTTAAAATTGAACTGTTAAACTTATTAATTGAAAAAGAAAAATCAAAGAAACAAAATAGTAAAGAAGAAAATTCAAATATTCATTTTAAGCTATAAAAGGTTATTAACAAAAATGTGTTAAGCACATGTTTAAGATGTTCCTAATATAATTTTTATGTAAAAAATATTTTATGCTAATTATCTTTTATATTAATATGATATAGTTCATGTTATACAATACGTTATACTTTTTATTGCTAAGAAATTTTTATGTTGCAACAGAAAATTATTTTTTTATATGCCAAAGAGAGAAAAGTATTATTTTTTACATGTAAGAAGAGAGAAAAGTTGTATTTTTTGAAAGTAGTATTTATTACATATGTTAGAAAAGAAGAAAGTATTTTTTTATGTGTCAGACAAATATTATTCTTTATATGTAAGGAGATTAAAAAGTTATATTTTTTGTGTTAGAAATGTGAAAGAAAAGTAGTACTTACTATATATGTTACAAAACAGGAAAGTAGTATTTTTCTATGTTATAAGAAAAAACAATGTTTTCTTTATTTGATGTATAAAATAGAAATAATGTAAAGTACTATTATGTATGCATATAAGTACTTATTATTTCTATTTTATACATCAAATAAAGGAAACAATACTTTCCTTTCTCATGTTTGTTTTTATGTATGTAATACAAGTTGTAAAGACATAAAATATAAAGTATGTTATAAATACAAGGTGAAAGAAATAAATCTTTTAAATTACAATTGAGTTATTCATTATATTTCAAAGACAAATGTATGTGTGAAATAGAATGTATATCACCATAATATTACATTCAAATATTTTTAATTATATATTTCAAATGATCATAATAATTATTTTATCAATAACATAATAAAGAAACTAATTATTGAGGGTTTTATTACATTTGTCGGCAGAGAAATAACAAAAACAATGCTTTTCATGAACGTGCCAAATAAATAATAGATGCAACATATGGATTGCTCAAGCCTTTTGATTCCGATGTTAATAATAGTGTTCAAATCAATCTGTAATTTTTAAAATAAATTCTTTAATATTGTTGACATATATTTTTTACGATTCATTTCTATATTAACATTACCATCCAAAATATTCCACAATTGCTCGTCGTTTATCATGGACATTCCTATTATCTATATTTTGCATTACTGCAACAGCATTATTGTATGCATGGGGATCAATTCGATCTTGTTGAATATTCTGTTGGACAATATTATGTAATACAGCTGTCGCCATAATAATGGGAAGTACTTTTTCAATTGTTTGAAAACGCATTCCAATTGATAAAACTGCAAATCTCTCTTTCCAAATTCCAAAAAATCGTTCAACTATTGAGCGAGTTCTAATTTGAGCCTCATTGTAAAGGTGTTCTGGTGGAGTTATTGGATAGTGTAATGGACTCATCACGTATGGTAAGTTTGGATATCCAGAATCTGCAAGAAGCAAACCATCACCGAATGTGCCTGCTTCAAACAAATTTTTGATCCTTGAGTGATCAAAAATAGTTGCATCATGCGTAGATCCTGGCCAACGTGCAACTATATCAATTATTTCTAATCTTGCGTTAACAACTACTTGTATGTTTATTGTTCTTGTGCTTGGAAGAGAAAATGAATTATATCGAAAAAGAAAAAAAGCCTTTTCTATTTCGATATAATTCATTTTCTCTTCCACCTAAAAAAGGTAAAGAAAATACATGTAAGCAGTGTTTTCTAATAAAAAGATTATCTTTACGTATTACATTTTTCTTACCACATGATTCAACTTTTATGTGAGTGCAATCCACACAACCAATAACATTAATAAACTTTGCTATTTGAAAAAATTCTTTTTGGTTTTGATGAATTTGTTCTGCTGACATAGGAAGTTTTATAAACTCATTGTTTAATGCAGCAATAATAGGTGACACTCGATGAACAATCCTTTGAGCACTTGATTCACTTATTCCGCAAAAATCAGCAACAGTTATCAAATAACTTCCAGTTGCATAAAATCTTATAGCGACCAGTAATTGTATGACAGGTGGAATAGGATTATTACTAAAAACATTATTACTATAAAATATTGCTAGTACAAAAATGTATTTATATCTATACTCTCAGTATATAATTCATACGTACCGATCAGATTTATGACGAATTTCATCTTCAATTCTTTCTAATACCGTCATAAAATTATTTTTAGATATTCTAAACCTTTTTCGGAAATCTATTTCATCAAATATTTCCATATAATTAATTCTTGGTCTGATTATACGTGGCCTTCTTTCATTTCTTTCAACATTATTTAAGTTTATATCATTATATTCATTAAAAAGTAAAAAATTAATAACTTCGTCCATTTTTACATGAAGCACTATTTTTACATCAATACGTAATGTAATTTTCTCACGTTGAATATATATCTTAAAAATTTTATTTAAATCGACTTTTTAATAATTTCCATTTATACTTTGTCTAAAGTAACACGACAAAAATATTAGGTTAAGGTGCTCTGTTACAATCGAAACGACCGATTCGTTTGATTACGTTGGCACTACCGTAATCGTCGATTAGCTTAATCGGAGGTTGGTGAAAGAGGCCCAAAGTGTTCGTGTCTCCATCAGTGGCAGATTGAGCACATGTTTGTCGCCATGTTAGTAGACGGCGTTTGTCACGGAACAGTCACATTTTTGTTATGTCGTCCGGGATAAAACGTTTGTTATGTCCAAGGTTCCGCACGCATGGAACCTGAGGGGATGGTCGTAACAGGAGACTTGTCTACCGTCGTTGTCGGATCCTAGTTCCGGACCGCAAGGGAGCGAGGTGGGAAAACCGACTTGGACGGGAGGCACTTCACTTCGTCCTTAGGCTCTCGAAGAGCCGGGGGTTTGAAGGGGGACGAAGTGGAAGCCTCGCTCGGGGTTGTCGCTCCGCTGAGCGGCTCCCCGAGGCGGACGCACACGCTAAAGGCCGGAAAATGGTTCAGTGTGCCTTAGGGGCACACTTCTATCCCATATGGGTCAGTACGTCCGAATGCCCTTATTTTCGGCCTTGGAAGTAAATCCAAAGGGCCGGGATTGGACTAAGTGCAATTCTGGTGTTAGGAATACGAGGAGATGTTGCTCGAAATTGAAATAATCAGGGTTTGATAATTAAGTAATATAATTAAAATTATGAATGGTTGTTACATTACATATATATAGGTGTATATATATATATTTAATAATATAGTTATGTGTTTGTGTGCGTGTGTGTGTATAAAAGGAGTAGGTTACGGGGAGGATAGCGAGAGAACAAAAAGGAAGGGGAATTTTGGTGAGTGGATCTGAGAAGGTTTGGCCGGATTTTCTTTGAACGATGATAGTATCAACGCGGACCTATCCGGTCGATAGGAGCGAGCAATTATCGCGACGGGGATTGAAGTTATAGCGTGAACAGACTGCAATGTTTTATTTTCTTTTATGTGGAAACTAAAAAGGGAATGAGAAAGAAAGGAACAAATAAAAAAAGATCAAATAACAATAAATAAATAATTGAAAAGAAACTAAATGAAGTATTGAAATGAATTACTGAAAGAAAAACGGAGAGGAGAAAGAGAAAGAGAAAGAACAATAAAATGAAAGAAAAAGGGAGAAGGTGGTGTTAACTTACTGGTTGATGAAATCGGCGGAGCCTGTTGAGAGAGCTTCAAAAGGTTCGAAGTCGGCGTAGATGGTCGGGACCTTGGGGCGCCAAGTCACTAACTCTAATACTTGTTTTTACGAATAACAATGGAGTCGCCCGAGACTCGAACTCGATTGGTTTTGTATGAACTGGGTAGCTTGGGATAACCCTTTCGACTAACTTTAAGAACTGTTACTATGAAGCTCTCAGCAAAAGAGAAGACCAAAAGAGCAAAGACGAGAGCAAAAGACAAGATAGAAAAGACGCTCAGGACCGCGGAACCGTGGTTTATATAGCGGTTTTTCCTAATTAGTGGGGTTCAAATTTGGGTGGTGGGGTGACTTTCGGGATTTTGGATTGGTCGAGATTATGGAGGAGGAAAGAAGTCGGTTGATATCAACAAGTGTCGTCTTAGTTTATGACTTTCCTAAATTTATGGGAAAATGCACGTGCACCGATTAAGACGAGCGCACGTGCATTTTCCCATAAATTTAGGAAAGTCATAAACTAAGACGACACTTGTTGATACCAACCAACAATGCCGATTAAGACGAGCGCACGTGCACTGTCGGCACGCGCCCGTCAAACACTCTCCCTGGACTTCACATGTCACATTTATATTTTATGGTCGCGGATATCGTAAGAATCGTCCGCGACTTGCTTGTCAGAAAAATGTTTAGGCGCCAGTACTGACATTAATTGCCATTTTTAATGGCGCTGTCCAACGGAAGTGTCATCGGCGGTGCATTAGCTCCCTGCGTTCACCGATTCTAACTCTATTTTATTTGGCATTAATGGAGACACTGGAGTCCTTTACTTTAAACTTTCTCATGGGAAAAGTTTTATTATTTTTCCTAGAAGTCTTAGGGGGTTGATAACCCCTAGGTCTCCGTGAGAAAGAGAAAAGAGGCAGCGTGAGTCCGCTGGACGTAACACGTTGAAGAATATAGTTTTTTCGTAAAAGTGTCAGTGAATACTTAATAAATATTGTGCTATGCGTGGATTCTAAAAAAGGTTAGTAATTTTGAACATATAGATGAATGTGACAAATAGGTACAACAAAATACACATGTTTCCATTTGTGACCGTCTCAAGCAAATTAGTCATAACATTAAATATTGCTCCTCTTTTTGAAAAGAAAATAATTAATACTCATCTCTATATGTTTATGGAAAAGTGTGAGTTGCATTTGTACGAATAAACCGAAAATATTCGGCGTATGCTCGAGGGAAAATTTTAATAACTTTTGATTAGGTCACTAAAAGTGGGACATCGTGTGTTTCTGTACCTATTTATGACCACAACTTTAAATTATTTAATATAATATATTATAGGACCGTACAT